TTAAATATGAGAGTCGAAGACGTTAAATTCATAGCCCTCCATGTAACGATAATGTTTTTAAATCATTATAAAAAAAGATATTTTTTTAAAATAAATTTATAAATTTTAGAATCATATTCCAGTGTAGCCGATTGTCCGAAAAGACCAGCTAAGTATCATTTCCTATCTTTTTGATATCCTTTCTTTTTATTCATCGCATTTCTGGATTTGATTAGTGCTAGACATGCTTGATATTTTTGCTTTACTGAGCCAGGTTAACCAAATAACCCCCTGGTTATTGTAATAATTCTAAACAACCACTCTTCTGTTCATCTCATTTTCTGAGTTGTCTAATATTTATATGCATTTCTCTCTAGAACAATGTCATGGCTTTGTTCTCAAAACTAATGCAATATCATGGTTTTGTTCTCAAAACTAATGCTATTTTTTTTTTCTTAATATGCATCTTTAAAATATTAATTTTCAGGTAATAGCAATATATGATACAAAAAGCAACTTAAAAGCAAAGCACATCTGATCTTCTTCCGTTAGAGGCTTCAAAGGAAAAAGAGAAAAATTTGAACTCATTCAAGAAATAAAGTTGACAAATTGATAGTAGTCTCATAATTATCTAGCATTATAGTACCATGAGCTACAGCCTATTTATGGGCACGGAACAAATAAAATATTTAAGGAAAGAAAACAACGGAAAAAACCCTGAAATTGACAATAACTTGCGCCCAAGTCCCAACCAAGCGTTCGGTTCTGGGGCCTTGTATCAACCGTCGCGGTTTGAGCAACAACATGGAAATTACTAGAAAATAAAGAAATAAATAAAATACTGAAATAATAATAGAGAGCTACACTAATTTTAGTCATACTTAAAGAATGTAAAAGGTTTCATGAACAACATTGTTAAGCATATATTGTTAGATTCAAGATCCAGGATTTCATGTTCCGCATAAGTATGAAAACCGATAATCCTTTAGTGGTGCCTTTCTAGAGTCTCAAGAATGAAAATTAGATGCTCTAAAAACAATAACGATCACAGCACCAAAAATAATACTACTACTAATTACTAATAATGGCTCTGTTCAAAACTTCAAGCATTAAGGAAGTTTTACTGTTGGCAAGAAGCAAAAATTTAGGCTCTGTTTGGATTAGTTATTTTTGGGAGTATTTATCAAAAATTTTGTTATAGCTGTGTATATGAAAAATTTTTACTGTAAATGTTTTTTGAATTGTTCTTAGAAATATTTTTAAAATATATTTTTGAGTGTATTTATAATTTATAATTTTTTTGAGATATTTTTTTATAATTTTACACGACCCACCACCACCACCACCCTCTTCCTTTTCCTCCCTTTCTCTCCTTTCTGTTCCTCTCCTCCTTCCCTCTATTTCCTCCCCTTCCTTCTCCTCCCTCCTCTCTCTTTCCTCTCCCTTCTCCTCCCTAACCCCTCTCCCGCTTGCAGGTGGTGGCTGCGACTTTAGCCACCACTTTAACCACAACTGTCTTGATCGCGATTTCTGATTACAATCAAATTTGATCATTACTAGAAAGGTTACAGTTAGTGGAAGGAAAAGAAATTGAGGGGCGGGGAAAGGGAAAGAAAAAAGAAGAAAGAAGAAGGAGAGGGAGGAGGAGGACAGAGGGAGGAAAGATGGGCAGAGAGAGAGAGAGAGGATCATAGATATGGAGTGGTGGTCGTAGTGGTAGAGAGTGATGGATAGTGATGTATTTTTTTTTATATATTTGGAGTTATTTTTGATATATTGTGTGGATATAATATTTTTAAAATTATTTTTATTTGTATATTACTGTAGTATTGTATATGAAAAAATTATTTTTCAAAAATTGAGGAATCCAAACAAAGCGCTAGGTATTCTCATCACAATTTAGCATTTATTAGTATATTTACACACTCAAAAATGATAATAATCAATTTCGAAGATGACATTATACCTTGGCCCTAACACAGATCCTGTAAGGATTTCTTTCATATATAAAATGGTTCGACATAAGCATGATGTTACCAATTAAGACATGTAAGATATAACCTACTACATTAACACTTAGAAGTGTAATCTAGTCGAATCAAACTCAAATTAAAAAATTTGAACTTGAGCGTGAACTTAAACTCATCAAGCTTTTAAAAATTCAACTCAAGCTCAAGTTTGATTTTATTTTACATTACTCGAATTCAAACTCGAGTTCATGCTTATTACACCCAATTGAACTTGTTTCGTGCTTAATCAAGTTTAAGAAATACAAATTTATATTTTTATATAATTTTACACAAGGGACAAAATAAACATTTCATATTCATAAATAAAAAATAAAAAATACATATATATGTGAAACTTAATTAAGTTCAATTAAATTCAATGAACTTTAGAACTTCATATATTAAATTCAAACTTGACTTTCAAGTAATTTTAACCACTCAAACGCAATCAATGCGAGTTTGAACTCAAGTTTTGACCTAGTAAACTCACAAACTACTTGATTAAGTTTAACTTATTTGTACTCACATTAACACTTGCATAAAAAAGAAACCATATTTAGAAAGACATGCACTTATGGTTGTCATGAATGATAATTTAGCCAAAAGGGGAAAATTACCATTTTGCTTGCTTATTTTCAAAGTATCCAATATGCTTTTTGTATATAGTTATGGATAAGAGATGGGAATAATTATCTATACAAATGCTCTTGAATAGTATAATGACTAGTGGTAAAAGGCACACCTAATATGTGTGCAATTTAAAAATAAATTGTTTCTCATATAAACTTATTTTATGTAGAATTTTTTATTAATGAACATGACTTTGCTCATTTAAGATTTTTTTTTCTTAAGAGAGTAATTTTGTTGTATATATATGAATAGTTATATTGGAAAGATATGTTCTAGTATTTACAATGAAAATAAGTTGTAGTCAAGATAAAATTTAAACCCTATGAAGGCAAAAATAAAAGTGATAAAAAAAATGTTTACATCAAAACTCAAAATTCCCACTTTATATTTGTACAAATAGTTAACAATGAATTAGAATTTGTTAATAAGGTATTACATTGTTTAAGGACAGTTGCTCACTGTTGCAAGCAGTCTTGCCCCTTACTCGTGTGACGCGAGTAACCATATATGATTTATTCTATAATCTAAATATATGATCAATGTAAAACATTTGATAGTAGTAACTTGATAGGAAACTCAAGGTCACACAAATTGCATGTGTCCCTCAAAACCAAACAATTAGCAAAAATAAATCCATTTTTCTCTTTTTCTTCTACTTTTTCCAATTTTTTTGACCAATTTCCCAAATTGGCAAACAAAACCTTAATCATGAAGATTCTCCAAAATGCCACACGAGATTCTTAGACTGCCATTTTTAAATATTATCCAATTTCTCTAATTTTTGCGGTCCTCAATTTTTTTCAAAGCTTTTCATTATAATAATCTTCCACTCTATACAAAAAATCTTCCTAATTGCTCATAGGAATGAATTTGTACAACAAGTGTTTATGATTTATTTATCCAACAAAGAAATCAGAGAAGGTATATTGAGAAAATGCGAAGATAAAAAAAATAAATCAAGGTCTTGTTTGAAATATAAACGAAAAGATATGTTAGATGGTACAAAATGAGTGTAAGTAAAAAGTTTTGAATTTGAATATTTCTATTGATACTAAAAAAAAAAAAGTTGTTTGAAATGCAAGTTTTCTCTAAAAAATTTTATATTTTTTGTAAACTCATTTTTCGATCACATTTTTATCTCACATATATCAAATAATTTTTATAATATCTTTTTTTTTATATAAAAACTCTAAAAAGTAACAATTCAAATGAACTCTAAATTTTGATTTTATTTTATTTTTTACTATTTGTTTAGTTGCATTAGTCACATGCAATTCATATGTTTGTTCCCGTCAAAATGAAATAGTTGCTATAACAGTAACAACAACGATGATAATACTAATTGAATAATTTAACACGACGAATCATAAAATATGAATCGAGCGATATAGGACCCACAGAATACCACCATAGCCGTAGTTGGGCGCAAAAGATCCTGTTTCCCTCCATGTTCGATGAATAACCGATTTTTGAATAGAAATCCCATGAAACCGCTGACTCGCTCCCATCTATCAAGTCATCCCAAACGATCAACTAACGACTACTGATAAACCTCAGACGCTAACCCCACCCCAATACCGGTTACGCGTACGTAATCAAAGCCCAGCACCGTCTGACGTGGCTCATCAATTCACAGCACCGAACGCAGTAAAAAATCAGTGTGCATCCCAAACTCTCTGTGTGGGAAAACGTGCAGGAGTACGCCACTAACAAAGGGACCACTAACAGCGTCACTTAACAGGGCGGGTGAGATCAACCTAATGTAAAATACATAAACGGCGTCGATAACGCCCCTCTCGAGCGCTGGCGTTTTCTTTTTTTCTTTTCTGTTTTATTTTTTAAAAAAATTTGTTTATAATCTTCAAAGCTTAGGTGGGGAAACTCTGTTTTATTAGTTTAATCACGTGTTTAGGCGAGGTGAAGCCGCTTCACCCGCCGGTTCCACTGTTGGAGGAACTCAATTTACCAGTATAGCCTTCTATGTGCAGTTAATGACTTCTTTTATGCAAATTGAAGAGGGAATTAGTTAGAGTATCGGACTTGTCATTTATGGGATAATTTATTAATAACATAATGGAAATCTCAAGTTTTTAATGAATTATACGTGTTTTACCGGCAAAAGAAGTAAGCAATTCAGCTGGGCTCAGTCCAGTCTATTTATAAAAAGCTCTCTGGCTCATGTGTTTGGAATTTTTCGTCTCTAAAAAACAAACACTCTCTCTATATGCTTCACCGTTTCCTTCCGCCGTCCGCTACCCTGTGTGAGATCTCCGGCGACGACTAAGGTCTCTGGTTAGTCTGCTTCCAAGAGTTGATTGTATTTCTTCCACTTTCTTCAGTTATGTGACTTTTACCGTATGCTGAGGTGAAAATGGCATTTCAAAGTGGCATTCTTCCAAGTAAATTGCTTTTGCTGCTTTGGTTAAAACATTTCACTCATCTGAGCTAATTCTCACTCTGATCTGCTATGGTCAATTGATTTTAAAATTTTTTATCAGAATTACATTAATTACATGTTCAAATTTCTCCACATTGAGAGAAAAAAAAGAAGATCACATTTTTGGGTTAATTCCAGAGTTTCACAATTTAAAGGATGCTGTTGTGTAAGATATGGAAGTGTCTGTAAAAACATGGTCTGCATGTTAATTTCTGCTTCTCAGAAACTTTTTTTACCTTTTGTTTTACATTTTTTCTATGGGGTTTGAAATATTTTAGCAGGAAGACATTTTAAGCGTGGTGAAAGACCACCTAACTTCTGCAAACCTACGCGCAAGTTATTTATTTAGCATTTTCTGCAAACAAAGTGAGTGAAATAGAATTTACTGACAACAAAGTGTTGACAAATTAAGAAATTACCGGGCTTTGCTCTTGCAGAATGGAAGCAACGGTAGAGAACTCTACTGTGATTGTCAAAGGCCCTCAAATTGAGAATTCTTGGATTCCTTCCACCCCTGCGAAGCCTGGTTTGGAAGCTCAGCCAATCTACACAGAGACGCAAGAACGACAACCATTGCAAGCAAATTGGTCCCAACAATCCCTGCCATGTGAGGGAAATGCATCAGATGGATGTAGAAAGGCAGGAAAATCAATCAAATTTCAGCAAGAAATCAAAGTCCATAGTGTAGCCACATGTTGTGGAGAAAACAATTATGTGGCTGTAGCCAGAAACTCCGATGGTTTGGATGCAACATCGGCAGCAGAATCACGGCTGCATGAAGTCCCACTCAAATTTTTTCAGGAGTTGTCCTTGGAGACAGACAAGTGGGGCAACGTTTCTTTTCAAGAATTGATGGCACTCGCAGATGCTGCGGGCACTGCCAAAGCTGCTGAGGAAGCGAGTAAAATTACTGATTTGAATGCTGAAAACATGTCATGTTGCATTCAGTTTACCCAGCTGCCAGAAATATCCACGAGTTCTTCACTGGAAAACCAAGGCCTGGATTCGAGTTCTCAGAATAATCCTAAGACACCCCATTGTGAGTCTAGTTGCCTTATTTATTGCTACCTATTACTTCTATCATAGAAAAGTTACCCTGTCAATCATGGCAGAAAGTTGCCAAGGGATTTCAAACCAATAAGAGAATGGTGGGTCAAAGTATGCTTTGAGGAGGTAACTTGCTACAGAATTGACTATTTGTTCACACAAATACTAAAAAAGCTACGTTGTTAATGTCTCCCAGCTCATAGCTGTATTAAGAAAATATAAATCCCGTAAATATTTCCTACAAATGAGTAATATAACTAAATAGCCAGAGTGGTGAAACTAGACTTGGCGAAGAAAGCCACATACCTTACATAGCTTTGTGCTAGAGTTTATCTTATGCACGCTTATCATTGCAAAGCCCTTGTTGCATCCCGCCAACCTCAGTTTCTATATGTACACGCACCAAACATTGTTCTTTATTCTGTCTGTTTACATGCTTCGCATCAAGAAAGCAGGATTCTGCCTATCATGATGGAACATAAATAAACTCCAAGAATAATCCTGGCAATGCTTACCTCAATCCTGTTAATGAATTTTCCTTTGCAGGTGAAAATGTAATTTCTTCCAGGCTCTGCTTTGATCTGAATTCTCCACCAAGAACAATTGCTGATGCATCAACTACACTTGTCTCATCCCAATTTGAGCCTGTCACACCTGATCCGACGAGGAGAACAGATGGACGGAAAGTGTCCAACTCTGCAGCAGCAGCAAAAGAAACAAGAATGCAGAATGAAGTTATGATGACACCTGAATTGCATGAGCTCCAAAACAATCAGTCAGTGCTGGTTGAGAATCAATCTTGGGCTACCATCTCCACTGTAATAGGGGAGAATTTCAAGCCTGAAGTAGGCAGTGAACAGCAGACTGATCTGACCAAGACACCACTGCAGAAGCCAAGGAGGAGAAAGCACAGACCTAAAGTGGTTGTTGAAGGTCAACCTAATACGAAGCGCAATCGCAATCGGGGAACACCAAAGCCTACTGGCCATCAGGAAATTGCAAAACCCAAGAGGAAATATGTTAGGAAAAGTACAGTCGGCAAACCAGTGGATAGTCCTTTGGAAGGCAAAACCAATGGAACAGATCTAGAAGCAACACCCAAGAGGAAATATGTTAGGAGAAGTGCAGTCGGCAAGCCTGTGGATACTCCTTTGGAAGGCAAAACCGATGGAACAGATTTAGAAGCAAAGCCTTCTAGTTCGGAGAATGTGCCAAAAAGTAAGAGGAAGTATGTCAGAAGAAAAGGGGTTGAAGAATCCACCACTCCCTTGGAAGTGGGGTGTACTACCAGAAATGACACAATGTCAGTTCGAGTAACACGAAGCTCCTGCAAGAAGTCACTAAATTTCAACTCTGAAGGCCGAGGTCCAGATGAAAGGTCCACACAGCCCCCTTTAGACGTTGATGCTAAGTCACATTCACAGGCTTCGATTCCAGAGGATCAATCAAGATCAACCATGAAGCTAGGACAGGAAATGGAAGTGGCACAGCCCCCTTTAGATGCTGATGCAAAGTCACATTCACAGGCTTCCATTCCAGAGGATCAATCAAGATCAACCATGAAGCTTGGACAGGGAATGGAAGTGACAGTTGAAAAGACTGAAATAGGCATTGCTTATGACCTCACACAAACCATAGATCATGCATTCCAAGGCTACCTTTTTGTCAACGAAAGTCAACCCTCTGGAGATACAACTTATTGCACAAGCAATCAAAATGGATGTACGAGAGGGAAATGTCAAATAGTTTTCTCAGATGTAACTCATGACAAAGAGGCAAGCAATTTTGGGACATTGTCATCTGACGCTAGGTGTGTGACAGGGAGTACTTCCAGCTGCAGCAGCAGTGCATGCTTGACCCAAGAAACACAATCAAGGAAATCAAAGAGCCAGCGATCTTTTAGAAGTGACGAGTCAGAATCTCGCAGGATAAATGCTACCGGGGCCCATTACAATTCATTGCAGGCATGCCAAGAGCTCTTTCCACCATATGGCTACAACTGTCAAGGAACTCCAAGCATGCAGTTTCCAACAATTTTCAAGAAAAAGAGGACAGAAAATTCGCATAAATCAGCAACTTCAAGCATTCTGCCAAAATCCAGTACCTATGACAATGATGGTCGGGATAGTCTATGCCCTTCCAATGATTCTCAGATATACAATTTCACATCAGGAACTGATTTCATGATGTCTGCTGCTCATTCTGATGCTAATAGTATCCCAACGGCAGCAGCAGCAGCAGCTGATGGTACCCAACATGAACAGAACCCTTTCGTTTGCCTTCCAATCTTGAGAAGTGCAGAAAGATTGACGAAGAAAAGATCTAAAGGCCCCATTCGGGTTCGAGATTTTGCTTCTCTGCATGAAATTTGGGGGCAGTTTCCTACTTCCAGCAGAGGAATGCTGAGTTCTGGAGTTTTAAAAGGACCGCACACATGCATGGATGCTCTGGTTGCTCACAATCGGCCAAGAATGACAACAAAGAAGCGGTCAAAGAGAAACTCTGTTGCTTCAAATTCTTCCTTTTCAAATACCTATGATCATCAGAAATTTGCAAAAAAGTCAATGGGTATGTATATATTACTCTTTTATATCTAATTACCAGTAACAATGAAATTATCAGAAAATTTTCTTACTTGGTGCATATGATGCAGGGTCTTCAACTAAATTGTGGAAAAATAAATCTTCAACAATTGATGCCATCATTGAGCAGTTTAACTGCCTTGATATACAAAAGGAACACAACAGATTGTTCAACCAAGAACAGAACGCACTAGTCACATACCAAGTGGACTATCCATTGCAGAATTCTATTGTTCTTTATCAAAGTAATGGATCTGTTGTACCTTATGATGGTTCGTCTTCTCAAATTAGGAAGCGCCGGCCACGGCCTAAAGTTGACCTTGATGAGGAGACAAATAGAGTGTGGAAGCTTTTGCTGGAAGACATAAACAATGACGGCATTGATGGAACAGATCAGCAGAAGGCACAATGGTGGGCAGGTGAACGGGCAGTATTCCGTGGAAGAGCAAACTCATTTATTGCCAGGATGCATCTAGTCCAGGGTATGTAGGCTCATAATTTAATTTTGCAGTAGTATACATCTCTTAATGTGCATAGACGTTATTAAGAAGTTGATCTACATGGGACTAAGAAAATCTCAGTGCTGTCTTAAAAGAAGATAGTATCTTAAAAGAAGATAGCATGTAACTCAGGACTTGTTGGTACATCCTCCTTAAATATGGAACTCGAACCTTGTAGCACGTGCTCTGGAGCAAGAAGCCAAAAGATTCTGGCGATTGCGTGTCATATAGCTCAAATTTACATGACAGAACACAGCAAAGAAGTCTATTACAATTTACATTATACCTGTATATAGAAGAACAAAAATCAGTGCTCGCCAACCAAAAAGAGAAATCAATTAGTAAATTGCTTTCTTGGTATGAAACATTTTCATTCTATTTCTGCTTTTCAAGAATATCATTTTGGCAAAAGAAATTAAGAAATCTTTTAACCGTAAATGATGGACACAAGAAAGTCAAGCATTTCAGAAAATACCAAATCGACTGCCTAAAAATTTCTAATAGTTTAATGGAATGGCATGACTGTAAATATGTTGGAGAAATAACTGACTGAAGGAAACTCTGGGCAGATGGAACAGTGTATGTGAACCTTCCATGAAAGGTTGAAGTGCAATGCATCTCACATAGCAAAAGTTGGTGTCGGATACTCCAAAAAAGTATCCTCTTCCTACACGGTTACATGATTCAGGCAGAAAAATTGTGTTTGCCATCTCAAATATGTAATAGGAGTGTGTTATTTTTTTCTTCCACAGGAGACAGACGCTTCACCCCATGGAAGGGATCGGTAGTAGACTCTGTAGTTGGAGTCTTCCTTACACAGAATGTGTCTGATCACCTTTCTAGGTGAGTTGATTTCTAAATTTCCACCCTCCTCACAAAAGATCATAGTAGCTTGAGTGCCTGCAAAAACAACTTTAGTTTGTGTTCATTGCTGCAGTTCTGCCTTCATCTCAATGGCTGCTAGATTCCCCCTCAAATCGAAGAGCAATCACTATCATACACGACCATGTGAACAACAGACAACTGAGGGACAAGTAATAATAGATCCAGATGATACAATTAAATGGCACAAAAAGGTTTCAAGTCAACTTGCTTGCCTCCAGGATTCCGTCACTCTATGTGACAAGGAGTGCAATGAAGAAGTAACCAGTACCAGGGATTCCTCTGGAGATACATCTGAAGGCACCAAAGCAACAAAAATTTTAAGATCCGTCTCTTCAGATTCTTCAGAATGTAGTCCAAAACTGTATAATGAACCAGACATTAGCAGCTTAAAATCTCAGGATGATCAAAGACTGGCAAGCTTTAATGGAGATAGCAGAGAACTTGATGTAATTTCTTCTCAGAATTCTGTAATTTCCTCTCACAGCTCTGTGGAGACTATAAACAAGGCTGAGTCATACTCACAAAGTTCCTCCGAAGCTGAACCAGCTGATGGTACTTGTGGCTCTTTTGTAAAACTGTTACAGATGGCAGGAACAACAATGTTGCATGGAGTTTATAATGAAGGAAGCAGAAAGAGGTCATCAAGTCTCGGCATGCCAACCAAATCAGAAGGTATGGCCTGTAACTCTTGCAGTAAGAAATCAATTATCATAAATTGTTTAAAAGATATCCATCTGCATACTAATTTGAGCCTGCACATAGGCGTGAATTCAGGATTTGGAGAGCTCAGGAACTTTGATCAGTCAGAAGATAACAGATTCAGTGATGCCTACAAAGAAAATGAGCTTTTTGTAACCGAACAAATTGGATCAGCAGAATCTTCAGCAGGAGTTCCATGTCAGAATACAATTGCTATTAGTTTCGAAGAATTACAGAAGTTTTCAATTGAAAATTCTGACTCCAACTCTCCTAACAACCATCAAAGGCCAATTGAAGATCAAGAGACTGAACTTGTGTCAGAAGTTCAAAAGCAAGAGAATAACTGCAGAGTTGGGCAAGTTTCAAATCCTCTAAGTTCTTCAGAATGTATTTTGGATGTCTCAGGAAAAACCCAAATAACTAGAAATCAGAAGGCTGTTCATTTGAATCTGAATGACTGCAATACAATTGTGGAGAAAATTGATGAGGTGAGCCCTAGTATATCCAATGCCAAAAGGGGAAGAAATGGAAAAGAGAAAAAGGATGCCATTGATTGGGATAGTTTAAGAATACAGGCACTCTCTAATGGTGAAAAGAGAGAGAGGACAGCCAATACAATGGACTCAGTGGACTGGGAAGCGGTGAGATGTGCAGAAGTTGAGGACATCGCTGAGACCATCAAAGAAAGGGGAATGAACAATATGTTAGCTAAGAGAATCCAAGTATATGTTCTAATTCTAGCATAATTATGGATTTTAGTCTCTCAGCCACTAATCATCACTGTCAGCTAATGATATCGAATCATGCAGGACTTCCTAAACAGGCTTGTCACAGATCATGGAAGCATTGATCTGGAATGGCTGCGGGATGTCCCACCAGATAGGGTCAAGTAAGTGTATCAAATGGCTTCTGATGCCAGTGCATAAAAAGTTTTGCAATGACAGTAAGCCTAACAACCTTGTATCATATTTATTGTGCAGAGACTACCTATTAAGTGTAAAGGGTTTGGGTCTAAAAAGTGTAGAATGTGTGAGGCTTTTGACACTTCACCATCTTGCTTTCCCAGTAAGATTAATACTTGAACCAAAATA